CCTTGGCAGCATGGGTGAGCACTTTTCATGACACGAATGCCAGGTAGGACTTTGCCATGATGCAAACGACCAAAGCAGCAGATAACAACCCAGGTTGAAGGTATTTTACAGGAGATGTTTGCCTCCAAGAGTGATTTAAACCTGAGCCAGGCAGAGAAGCCCCCAGCGGAGGTGACTTTGCTGGCTGGTGCTAGATGGGGAGGGCTGGCAGAGCTGCATCGTCCCCGCACGGAGCAGCACCGCTCGCTGCCCACTTCCCCCTTTCCTTCTGGCACCGGCTTACTTTCAGCTTTATGAAGCAACTGTAGCCCAGTGTGCTAACGGGAGGTGATGACAGCTTGGTAGGTAGGGCCGGTGGTGCTGACAGCTTGTAGCGTTACACCTTCCCCAGGAAAATTGCGGCAATCACCTGGCAGGGTGGGGAAAAAAAGTGTTTGCGCAAAAGCCGTGATCACCACAGGGATCATGGTCCTGCTAATATTTATTCTAGCAGATCCACCGTGTTTGTAGGGACGTGTTTCAGGGAAAAGCTCACAGCTGGGTATTTTATGAGGGGAAGAGTAATACAAAGAAATGTTGCTGAGGGATTTCTCCAGCTCACTTGCTGTCGGGGCTGCCAGCCTCCAGCCCCTGTCCCCCGCAGGGACACATGCTCAAGGGGGGGAAGAACCTGCGGAAAAGGATGGATGTCAGGGGTGAGTCAGTTCCCACAGCCTTTCTGGCTTTTAGCCTTGGTCCCCGCATGGTGCAGAGCATCACGAGAGCCCTGCAGGAAGGAGACGTAGCCTGAGCTTGGTCACCACCACGCAAAGGCTTTGCTCTGGAGGTTGGCTGGCAGCCCTGTGGCTCGTTCCGAGTAGCCAAGGGTTTCTTATTTGTATTTTTAAATGATTTTTCAGGTGCTTGCTTTAGTAACTTCTCATTTTCTTTCTCTCCCTGGATTGCCTGGCATCCTGGATTGCTGCAGCTTCGGGGAGAGGTGGGGGAAGATAAACCAACGCCTCAGATGGTCAGAAATGGGTTATTGTGGTTGTGAGCAAAAAGTGTTTTGGGTGGAAGGTACGTTACTGATGCTCGCTGGGTGAGGTCAGATGGCCACAAGCATCTCCCAAAAGCCACCTGTGTCAGATCCGGGAGGATGTCTGGATTCCCATGGTTTCCTTGAGATCAACAGCAGTTGGGATGCCTGCTACCCTTTTCACTCTGGCACTGAAGGACAAGGTTGTGGAGAGGCTCGGAGGGGGCCTGGGGCTGCCTGGCCATGGGGAACAAGCGCCACATTGTGCCACCAAAACTGCTCTTTGGCCGATATCAATAGAGGACTTGACTGCCCGGTTTTGCCAGCTCAGCACTTCAGCACGCGCTAAATTCACCCAATAAATAAAAAATGAGCAGAAAACTCCCGATGGGTTGAGAACAGACGCTGCATTGATGGTCGTGGCTGATTCACCGCAGCTCCATGGCCAGTGCAGGTGATGCTGGCTCGGTTATCACCATCTTGGGGGGACCCTTCCCCAAAATGTCCCTCCCCGCACCCTTACAATGCCGACCCTGGCTGCGCAGCGGCCATCCCCCCTGCTGAGAAGGTGGGGCGTGGAATTTCGTGGCAGCCGGTGCCTGTGAAAACTTGCTTTCCGAGACGAGTGCTGGCAAACCTGCGTCAGAGGGAGTGCCTCCGCCCGGCACCCGCACGTGGCCTTCCTCCACGAGCAGCCTCTGCAGCACTGGAAGCTGCGGGGCTGTTGGAAGGGTTTTTACATCCTCTTACAGGGGAGGTGAAAATATTACCTGGAACGACTCAAGGCTGTATGTGGAAAATGTTGGGTTGCAGCATGTGTGGATTTGAGCAGGGAAAATGAGGCTGTTGGCTTGATTATCTTGCCAAAGCCCAATAAAATGCAAAATTTCCCTGAAAGTCAAGTCCATTCATGGCCGTTGTCCAAGACGTGTCCAAATGTGCAAACACTTTTCATTTGGATGGGAAGAGTGTGCCATGGACCTGTTTAGTTGCTCTCCAGGTTGCACCCTCCTTCATTCGTCATTGCAGGCATCACCCATCTCCTTCTCTGTAGCGCTGTAGAGCATCTTCCATCCTTGCAGGATGCTCTAGCCCATCCGCAGCAGTCCGGCATGCCCGCACCTGGGTTCCGAGCCCAGGGAAATGTCGGAGCCAGGAGATGAGCTTGATTAGCAGAAGAAGAAAAATTAACGTTCTCAGAAGTGCCAGTTTTATTTGTAGAAAGGATTTGCACTTCTGAGAGGGCTGTTGACTTTCAGGAGACTTAGGCTTTCAAGTACCTAAATCACTTTTAGAAATATGCTTGCAAATTTTTGTAAGTACTTAGAAAATATTTCACCTATGTCCTCAGGCCTTCTCCAAGTGCAGTGGTAATTACAAGTTGTCAATTAACCACAATGTGCAGATCTCTGCTTGAAGCTGTTATGCATTCAGCACCTAGAAGACAGACCACATGGAGAGGCATGGCTTGTATTTAAAAGATAGGAGCAGTGAGGACTGAATGCAGTTGGGTTTTTAGAGGACAAATGCCTGGTTTTTCACATGGGCTTGGGACTTGTGGGTTTTTGGAAGGTTTCAGAGACTGAAGGCCATGTGAAATGTAGTCTCCCAGCTTGGGCAGTGGCCAGCTCTTCCTTGGGCAGCAGGAACTTCTCCTTTCAGATACAACAGCCTCTGCGTCATCTCCTGCAACAACTTGTTTTACTGTGATGCGTCATTTAGCGCCGTGCCCAAAGCCTCTCAGCAGCGTGTGGTCAATGGGTATGAATTCAGCACAAGTACCTTGGATTTCTTAAGAAATTATTGGAGTGTGAAGTAGCTGGGGCTTTGACCTGCATCCCTCAGGGGATACGTGAAGGGATGATTTTGCTTCATTTAGAGCCTGGGGTAAGTTATTTTGGTGGAGTTACTCCCAACTTAACTGGATTTGAAACAAAAAAAAACTCAAGCAAATGTGCATAAATTCCCCAGGAACGTTGGTGGGGATGTTTGGAGCAAGGCTGTGTCTTCAGGCTGCATGTTTGGTCATGAACCGTGCGATGGCAGACTCTGCTGGGTACCGACACTCTCCTGGTTACAGGCCAGCTTCAGTCTGGCCCAGGCTCTTGGAGAGAGGGTGTGATGGAAACAGCATGGTGTTTGCCTTCCCCCAGATAAAAGAGACCCAAAGAGCTCTTCTACACCCTCCTGCTATCCCCAGACAACCCAACATCCATGTTAGTTTAATGACATTTTGTCTAACCTATACTAACAGGTTCTGGTGATGCGATTTTACAGCTTTTGGAAATCTTTAGCAGTGCTCCAGGATCTTTATTGTTGGAGACACAATACACCCTCCTACACCCCCCACTTGCTGTCTCCAGCCTAAACCCCACTTTTCCTAAACTGTTCCTTGTAGGTCACCTCGTCTGGACTTACCAACTTCTTGCTGCTCCGGACTCTCAAAGAGCTGCCGGCGTCTGTCTTTGCAGATTTAACCCCACCAGACAGCTTGTTCAAGAAAATACTGACCGATGCCAGGCACTGGTGAAGCCTCTGGGGAATCCCACCTGATCCATATTTCCACCAAGACATGAGCTACCCATAATTTATCATGGAGTGTAGTTTTTATCCTTTAGAGTAGTTTTTCTTCATGTGCCCATCTCCTACAGCCTATAGACAAAATATAAGCCGTGTACCCATGCTGCGATCTTCTCAACACAGAGGTTTCAGCTGACACTAAAAAAGCCTCCCCTAAGATGGGGATCTTTAAAAGCGAGGAATCTCCTAACCCAGAGCCCTGCTTCATTGCAAGTAGGCTTCAGGTTTCATACTGCATGTAAATCCCACATCAGGAAAGGCAAACGTAAGGAAGAGGGAAGCGCTGGACACTCGTGTGCTCATCCCTATTTATCAGTGTGGTTTCTGAGGATTTGGTGGCCACAGATCAGGTGAGCATCTTCAGCTAGCGAGGGGTCTGCCTTCCCCCCGGGTATTTATTGGATGCACATTCAGGCCCATCAGGTGGGACATGGCCAGGCCAGGTGTCTGTGAAGTGAGTGCACCATCGCACACTCACTTTGCACGCTGGCTCTTGCGAGAGGCTTGCACAAGCTGCTGAGATGCTCCACGGTCTTCTCCTGCTCAGAGCACGTGCTCTGCCCCGCAGCCAGTGGGATGGCCACCTTATTTCCATTGGCATTCACTAATTAGCATTTAGTTTGCTCCTTTAAAAAACAACCCGGGTAAAAGGCATGCCCTGTCAGGTAAGCACGTTTGTGGTCAGACGGCATCTCCGAGAGGTTGTGTCTGCTCTGCTGCGAAGGGTTTTGAATGCCTGCAAGCTCGTCGTCATTGTCGGACTTTGAAACCTTTTTGAAGACGTGACAGTACATAAACTAAATCAAGTTTCTGGCCAAGGCAACGAGCCACGGAGCCTCTTCATTATAGAGATGAGGGACAGAGAACTGACCTCGCATGGTCTTTAATAAGGGAGGACGGCCATGAGACATCACAGTGGAGGGTTTAAGCAGCACACAAGCTCCAGCTGCTTAAAGAAGGGGCTGAAGTTTCTCTTAGCTAGTTTAATAAATGGAGTTGTTGGAAACATTCATTTATTTTTGGCAGAACAGCTCTGTACTGCCTTACACGTGCGACTGGGAGGTGCGCAGGGTGGAGGTGGTGATGGGGCCGATCCGGACCAGGGTGGGAGTGTTTTTGATGCCATCGCCTGTTGCAGGGATGGGAGAGGCGCAGGAGCTGCCATGGGTGGGGAGGTGGGGGTTTGCAGCGGCTGCCCAGCTCCCGGGGACCAGGCAGCTGCGAGCTGAGTGTTTCAGCTGATCTGCTTGCTTTCTGCTGGGATGGAGGGGCTCGCAGGTTTTGGGGGCCAAGGGACTCTCGGCTCACCTGGTATAATTTCTAGCCGAGCACAGCTTCAGGATTCCCTCCAGTCCCTGTCCCCACGCCTCTCTCAGCTGCCTCTTTCCCCTTGCCTTTGCAGACCCGCCAGACTTTCAACAGCCTTACCTGCCTTAGTGCCGCGGCCGAGGACGGCTCCCAGCGGCTCCCCGGCCCCCAGCCATGGACCGTGACCCCCCGCTCCCCAGATGTGATGCCGGGCAGGACCCCCGCCTGCACCCCAGTGCCAGAGCCGCCGCGCTCACGGGCCGATGAGCGCCGGGCCAGCAGGGACGACCTCTCCTGCGAGGAGGAGGAGGAGGGTGGCGGGAAGGAGGAGGATGGGGTGGTGTGGCGGAGCGGCGGGACAGGCGCTGAGAGCCTCTTCCAGCTGGATGGCGAGATAGATATTGAGCAGATAGAAAACAACTGAGGAGGGAGTGGGTCCTCTCGCCCCAGGGTCGGGGGGCTGCCAGCAGAGCCGTGGAGGGCTCCCCACTGCCAGCGTGGGGTTTGCGGGGGTCCTGCCACTGCCCCCCTCCTGCCAGCTGGAGGGGACGAAGCAGCTTTGCCAAAATTTCATCAGGTATTTAGAGCAATTTTTGTGCGTGCGTGTGTAAATCTTGAAATTCTTTGTAACTACTGTAGCCAGAGATCAGCTAGTCGGAGGAAACTGCCTGTCCGACTGGGGAAACCAGGCGCAGGGATCGCCAAAAACTTGCATTTAGCGAGTAAATGGCTTATGCCAACATAGGGTTGGAGTTGATGGGGCCAGCCACGCTCCTCTGAGTCCCACCCGTGCTTGTTTATTAGGGGATGCACAAAGAGAAACCACCACCCATGGGACTGGAAAAAGTGGGGGAAAACCAGAATATTGAGATTTTCAAACCGAGTGCTGGCTGGTGGCTGCAGGGGCGGCTGTGGCTCCTTTTCTCCTGCCGCATCCCATTTGGCGCCAGCACCCCCTTTGCTCCCCACGTCCCTGGCAGTGCCGTGAGAAGGAAATCACAAGTGAAGTGTTCTGCTTAAATTTAATAATGGTAAGAGCTGGATTTTTACTTTTTCTTTTTTTAATTTTCCTTTTCCTGATGAGGAATTAAAGGGACCCCCAGCCCACACAGCTCCAACGCGGGGCAGCATCTGCAGCAGCGCTCAGAAGGTGCTGCCCGAGGATGCTCAAATGCCTTTCTTCCTTATTTTTTTTCTTCCCAGTCCCCTCTCTCAAACTCATCAGGAAAAAGCCCCAAACAGTCTTGGCGTCGCCCTCGCTCAGGTTCCCAACACCCAATTTTGAGCGGGGCTGGGCCATTTACCCATTTACCAGCGGCTGTGCCCTCTTTGCCCCCAGGGAC